AAAATAACATGCACTAAATAACATATTTTTGGAAGATGAATAGAAATGAACTTAGAGCATTACATAAAATTATAGCGAGAATGTCAACAGAAATTAAATGTGTTTCATGCTGTAGAACCTAGCCTGAGGCCTGGAAAAAAGTTGACACTAAATGCAGTAGCTCCATTTGAAATAGCTTGGGTCATATTTTCAATAGCCACATAGAAACAAGTCCTGACATACAGTTAATTGTGTGTCCTCTGGTAAGAGGGAGCTGAGATCCACAGCACTTCATTTCTTGGGGAGAGTAGGGTTACATGAATATTGAGAGCGAAGGATTCTACAATGAATGCACACTACCAGATGCCTTCTGGGAGTCAGAGAGAAGGAAGCTCAAAGTTTAGAAAGGTGATGATGGAGAATGAAAGTTCTAAAACAAACGCTACTTTGTCACCACTTTACCTAGCCTGCGTTTTTAAATATATTTCTGGGGATGGGACCGAGGTAAATTTGGAGAATATACATCTCTTCACTCAGATATTTAGGAAAGTTTTGGCAATTTATATACAAAAACTGAACACATTTTATGTGTTCAATGTGATGAACATGCACATATGCGCACACCCATGGATCCATCAGAACAAAGACAACACACATATCCATCCCCTCTCAAAGTTTCTCTGTATTTCTTTTTAGCCTTCAATTTTGCTTTTGTTTCTGCATTGATGTTTTAGAGAACACTTCACATGATATTACACTCTTGCATTTATTCAGTGCATGATATAGCATTAACTGTAAGCACCATGTTGTACAACAGATCATTTGCATTTTCCTGATGTTTTATGATTATGAGCACTTTTGTTGTCGGATATTTTTATTCTTGTTTGAAGAAATGTCTGCTCAAGTGCTTTGCCTTTTTATAATTGGATCACTTGCTTTTTAACTATTGAGGCTCTGTGTCTGTATTGATCTGGAGATACATAACGGTATTTTTCCCTGATAAAAGTAGCTTTATTAATCTATTTCTATAAAATACCCATATAAATTTTATCTCTATAAAGTTGTGCTCTTCAACAGTACTCAGTGAGGCTGAGTTTGGATAGTACAAAGAACTGGATAGCTAAATGATGGATAGTTATAGTGTTGAGTAGAATTAATATTAATTAATATATCACTAATTGCTCAGGTTACATTAAAATGCGGTGGGAACTTTCATATGAGAGAAAAGAATACTAGGATACAGTGAGAAACTAAATTAAACACAGAAGAAACTGTCTTGTGTACAATGGTAGAATTTAACAAGATGTTTTCTTTTCTTTTTTTTTTAGACAGGGTCTCATTGTCATTCATCCTGGCCTTGAACTCACTAAGTAGCCTAGGAAGGCCTACATCTCCTGGTGATCCTACATTGGCATTCCAATCACTAGTATTATAGGCATGTACCATCATGGCAGGCTAGGATGTTTAATTTTCCTGATATTGTAGTGTAAAACCCTTAGCTATAATTATTGTCTAAAATTTTCTCTAGTCTTAAAACATTGAAACATGGGTCAGGGTTTTATCTCAGTGGTACCATCCCTGACTCAGGAGTGCAAGGTCAGGAGCTCAATCCCTGACACCAAAAACAAAAACATTGAAATGTAAGACAAGTTTAAATAATATAGAAGGGTGCATTCAATATTCATTTAAAATATCGAATATATGTATTACAGTACCTGTAAGATATAACAGGGAAAGATCCAAATCCCCTTTTCTGACACTTTATTTTCTAGAGGTCTTAACAAACTAATCATCTTGAGAATGTCAGGATATTCCTGAAAATCATGACTGTACCTATATATACTGCTTAAATGAATCACTAAGAATTTTAATAAAATTAGAGAATGCAAAGCCCCTATAAGGGTAATAAATCTTGAGATACACATTAGGTACTTTCAGCCTTGAAAGAAGAAAAGAAAGCAGAAAGTAAAGCAGCTGCAGCCAATAGGAAGTGGTATATGGAAAATAATTTTGAAAAAGAAAGACAATCATAGTTACCTAACTAGAAAGAGATCAGGAAAGAGGTTATCAGAAACAACAAAACAAACACCACCAGCAGATAAAGAATTTATGTATTAAAGGTAAAGTAAGGAGTAATTCATAGACTAAAAAATCAAAACACTCACCTCTAGAAAAAGGAGGATTTGTTGAATTTAGAATCAAGAATAGACATTTTGTTCATGATGGTCATTGCAAACATTTGAAGCGATATGAAAATGAGAACTTTGAACCAACTGACTAGAACAGACATATGTAACATAACAATCTAAGCACTGTATATAGCAACTCTCTTTTTCTTCTTGTCTAAATTTTCTAAGCAGTCTATGTATGTCTTATATATAAGGAAATGTAAAGGTCTACTGTGTCAACTGATTTTAGTTGTTAACATGAATGCATAAATCTGTTTATATCCACAGCTGAATGTGCTTTTAGGAGGCAGGGCCATTTGAAGGAGGTAGGTCACGGGGGGATCCTCTAGATGGGTACATTGCTTGCTGCTGCTTTGTCTGACTCTCTCAACTTCTGGGTGTCAAGAAGTGAGCAGTATCCTGCTACCACAGTTTTCTGCTAAAATGTTACTGCATTGGAGACACTTGATTAAGGACTGCAACCTCTGAAGCCATGAGCCAAATAACCCTGTCCTTTTGAAAATTGTGAGTGTAAGGTATTTTTGCACAGTAACATCTCTGCTTTAGAGAAGTTTATAGATACAGAATATATATAATTACAATGTAGAGCATAATACAATGTGATATAGCTAGCCACAAGTAATGGATATTTGAAAGAACATAAGAACACAGTTTCACATTCTCTGGATAGATAAATAAAGGTAGCCTTAAAGAACTGACAGGTAAGGGAATCTTGAAGGACTAGTAGGCATTAGTCAGTCAAAAGATTACCCTGACCAGAGGAGAGAGAAGGTATAAATTGTGAAGAATTAACAAGTATTCAATATTGGTGGACTTCAAGGCCATCTACTAAAAAAAAAGTTAAGGAAATTTCATGTGATAAAATGGAAAAACCAAAGGATATACTTCCTATAAAGAGACATGTAGATTACACAAGATATTATGATATCAAGAAATAATATCAGAAGAAAGTATTGATAGGAGGGGGAAAATGTCTTCACTTATAAGATGTGGAACTTGATGTGCCAGTGGATTATTTAATTTATAATGTTTGGACTACTGGCAGATTTGGGCATCTGCTCAAGGCTCTGGAGGCAATCTTCTGCAGATTGAAAAGCAATGACCTGTATGCTTAGCAATATTTTCTATAGGGAATAAATATGGTCTTGGAGCACATCTTATACACGATAAATCAATGGTGCTAGGTCTAATCACCCATAAAAAATACGGAATAAGGAGAATAACAAACAGAAAACAAAAAATCTGAAGTTGAGGAACTGCAACATTTCACATATAAATAGAAACTAGAAAAGGAGAAATGACAGTAAAAGTAGAGATTTAAAGCTAGAAGGAAAGTCAGAATAGTGGCAGGCAACTCATTATAAGAAGTGATTGAATTTTATTTTTTAATGCTGTGGCAATGCCAAGCAAGATATAACTAAAATGCGCCATTGGCTTCAACAGAAATGAAGTCTTACTTGGTTTCAGGAAAGCTATAGAGAGTTGAAAATAAACATTGCAAGTTAGATAATTAAAGCCTAACTAGACTGAGATTAAGCTAAGAAGGAAAGAATAATGCCCTGAATGAATTAAAAACATTAGAAAACATGATACATATATACAGTATATTATTATTCAATTATAAAAATAAAGCATGTAAATTTCAGGAAAACGGATAGAATTGAAGCTCATTACATGAAATGAAACAAGCATAGACTCAGAAAGTTAAATATTATGTTTTCCTCTTATGTGAAATCTAACAAATTTAAAACTATAGCAATTGAAATGAAAGTTAAGAGAAGGATTTAGATAATAAGAACTGAATAAGGAAAAATGAGGAAGAGAGAAGAGCTTAGTGAAATGGTGAAAATGATCAAAGTATGTTATACAAATATGCTAAGAAAAGCTCCACTATTTGGTGTAACTAATATGCACTGATTTAAAAAAACTCATGGAAAAAGAAAAAAAATTTAGAAGACTGCATTTAATAGCTGTAAATGCAGATTAGATTTGGGGGCTTTAAAATGGCTCCAATAAAATAGGTGAACATAAAATAAAACTACATGAAAACATTTCTTCAGTAAGTATCCTCAGCATTAAATTTTGTCACATGGTAGATAATGTAGTTGTACATCATATCATCCAGTAGTACTATACTCTTCAGTATAAGGATACCACATTTGTCATGGTTCTATGCTTGTTTTCCAGGAGAAATACATCGTGCCCTAAGATACAAGTAATCCTCACATACAAGTAATGGAAACAATTTACGTTTATAATTCCCTGCGTGTATCCTATATGCCAAGTTGACTTTGGGCAAATAACTTTTAACTACCTATGTAATGACATCACCTTTCTCTAACCCATTAAATTTTTAATCCAGGCAATCTAAAACATTTGTAAATTTTGAAGCACAAAAAGAATTAAAGAAAAAGCTGTATTCTTTTAAAATACCATGATATCTTAAGGAATTCTGCACTGTTCATGCGTGTAAATTCAGTAAGACTGTTGTATTAGTGGCAATATTGATTCTGATGTGAAGGGAGAAAATAAGTATTGGTTAGTTTGAATGACTTCTACTTGCAGGCTTTTTGCTATGGAATTTGAAAATGTAACATTTAAAAATTTTTTTAATTTTATTGGTGCATTTCAGGTATACAGTATAATAACACTAATCATTGCAGATTTGTACCTTTACGTAATGTATTTTATTTTTATTTTTCAACATATCCTGCCTTCCCTTCAACCCCACCACCCTGCCCTATTTACAAAGTCTTTGTTTCAATTTTTTCATTTTCTAATGCTAATTCCATTCCTCTCTTTTTTCATGAAGTTAAATATCAAGACCCACGTATGAGAAATCACACAGAAATAACAACTTTCATCTTGCTGGGACTGACAGATGACCCATAACTACAAGTTCTGCTTTTCATCTTTCTATTTGTCACCTACATTTTGAGTGTAACTGGGAACCTGACTATAATTGCACTCACATTGATGGATCTCCGCCTTAAAAAACCTATGTACTTTTTCCTCAGAAATTTTTCCTTCTTAGAAATTTCATATACCTCTGCCAGTATTCTTAGATTCCTGTACAGTTTATCAACTGGGGACAATACGATCACTTACAGTGATTGTGCATGTCAAATGTTCTTTGTTATTCTCCTTGGAGCAGTAGAATTTTTCCTCCTGGCAGCCATGTCCTATGATCGCTATGTGGCCATCTGTAGACCTCTTCACTACATGACTATCATGAACAACAGAGTGTGTACCTTACTAGTCCTCTCTTGCTGGGGATGTGTCTTAGTAATTATAATCCCGCCCTTTAGCTTGAGCTTCCAGCTTGAATTCTGTGATTCCAATGTCATTAATCATTTTGGCTGTGGTCCAGGTCCCTTCCTAAAGATTTCATGCTCAGACACATGGGTAATAGAACAAATGCTTATGCTTGGAGCAGTATTTACACTCATTGGGACCCTAGTCTGTGTGATTCTGTCCTACACATACATCATCAGGACAGTTCTGAGATTCCCCTCTGCACAGCAAAGGAAAAAGGCCTTTTCTACCTGCTCCTCCCACATGATAGTGGTTTCCATTGCCTATGGCAGCTGCATCTTCATGTACATAAAGCCATCAGCAAAGGATCAGTTGGCCACAAATAAATTAGTTACACTTCTTGTTGCTTCTGTTGCACCCTTGTTAAATCCTTTTATTTACACCTTGAGGAACAAGCAAGTGAAACAAGCTTTCAATGACTTTATGAAAAGGATTGCATTTCTCTCAAAGAAGTCTTGATAAGTCAAATGAAAATGAAAGACAAATTACAAAGGTACTTTACCATGGTTTCTAACATTTCATTTTTTTCCTTTCTACAATACTACCAGATTAAACTTCTAGATATTTCATATTTCATCCTATTCCCACTTCTATCAAACTCCCTACTCTTTCAAGAAAAGCATGTATGTAATGTTTTCATTCATTCTGAAATTTAATGAAATATATTTGTATGAATGTTATAAATCTTTTCTTATTCTATCAGTTTTAATACATGACTCTGTTTTCCATGTGATTCTCAGTTTAGTCCACATTTGCCCAGTTGTCCCTTTTTGCTGGCATCATTCCTTGGATAAGCTTTCATTTTGTTTCTGAGTTCCTTAACACAAGAAGCTCAATCACCTTTCTTATATCACCTCCCCAACAAGTTCCCTTTTATTGTTCCTCCATGTTTCCTTGACAATAACTTCCTCCTCTAAAAAAAATTGAGTTCCACTGGTCAAAAATATTTTACTCTTTTCCCTAATGGTTAATAATAATAATTCCCTAATTAGAAATCTAGTAATCCAAAATTAAAAACCAGGAATTCTTTCTCTTTTCTCTTTTCTTTTTTCTCATTCAGTGAAAATATAAATATTATAAATATGGAATGAAATTGAAACAGGAAAAGTTATCTTCTCTCTGGCTTTGGACAGTATGACTCCCTTCTTTCTGGATTTTAAGGCTGACTAAGGCTCTTGTTTTTTCCTTTACAAGTGACAAATTCTAAAACCATATTCAAAATGAGACAAAAGCACAATACTATAGTTATTTATTTATTAAGTCATATTAGAAATGGCTAATCACAATGAAAACTCATAACTTATGCCAAATCATAATCCATGCAAAATGCAGATGTAAGTGTAAAATTATTGGGAGAAAATATAAGCAAATGTGTGAAATCTAGTTCAGTAGATGTGTTCTAATAGTGCTATAAAATTCAAATATAATAGAAGAATGTATCTTGGCATATTAACCAAATTTTTCTATATAGCAATAGTATCATAACTAATATTAAATATCAAATTGTGACATAGTATTTCTAATCTAAAAGACTAACAACTAAGGATATTAAGGGCATACAAATGTCTTAGAAAAGAGAAAAATTCCACAAATATTTAAGTCTCCAAATAGCTAAATTATAATATTTTATTCAATAAGAATTAATTGCTAATAAACATGAGAAAAAATTTGATTGATAATTATTCACTGAAAATTTAAAATTAATGCAATGAAAAATAAATTTATTTGAATCATGAGTTTTGGGGAATGATTTACTATGTTGATAATGCTTCTTGACCTTGGTGCTGTTAATGAATTGCCATTGTCCAAAATACGTATCTTAATTCCCAGGTTCATTAGTTAGACGTTGTGTTTGGTTTATTTGATGTATAAATTACTATTTTACTTTCACTAGTGACTATAAAGAAAAAAGAAAGAAAATTTATTTTATGTTTTCACCAGTATTTTTTCATAACAGCCATTCTAATTAGGTGAAATATGTAACTGGAGTTTTGATTTACTGTCCTCTGTTTAATCCTTGTTCTTGCTAATATGTGTACTTTCTTACTCTTGATGGGTTTGTTTTTTCTTTTTGTTTTCCTTTGTCAGCCTCATTAGAAGCCAATGTTATTGATCTTTTCTAAAACTGTATTTTGAGGGGCTGGGAATGTAGCTCAGTGGAGCCATACCTGCCTAGTAAGTGCAAGTCTTGAGTTCAATCCCTGGTACCAAAAAAAAAAAAAAAAAAAAAAAAAAAAAAAAAAATTTACTTACTTTTGTTTCAGCTTCATTTATTTCTGGTCCTTACCGCTGGTTCCTTTGGCATGCTTAAGATTTATTTCATTTTTTAAACAGATTATCTTAAATTTTTTATTAGTACATGTATGTAGTAATGTTTACATTCCTTGCGGTGAGTTGGTACCTGTACATAACTCATCTTAACTATTTTTTCTTCCCCTTCTTCTACCATCCCTTCCCTCTTCCTCTTCCTCAACGATTCCTCTTCTAGGTATCTTCTTAACAGATTTAAAGATGTCTTATTGCAGTGATATTTGCATTCTCATATTTATAGCAGAACAATTCATAATAGCTCAATCTTGGAAGCAGCCTATATGCACATCAACAGATGAATGGACAAAGAAAATGTGGCATTTATAAACAATGGTGTACTGCTCTATCATTAAAGATAAAATGCAGGTTTCTTTTGTAGAAAAAGGTTGCATCTTGAGACTATAATGTTAAATGAAATAAAACAGTTGCACAAGTATAAATATATGGTTTCTCTTATATGACAAAACAATAGAAAGTAAAGAGCAAAATAAGAGATTGATAATAGAAAGTAAGGGAGTAGATTTTTCTCAAATAGATTCCCACTATTAAACCTTCATTCTTTTTTAGTTTTTAATTTTTTTCTTCTCTTTAGATACTTTGACATTTTACATGCAGGTTGCCTAAATCGTCGAAAGTTATTTTGAGAAATCACATAATAATAACAACATTAATATTGTTAGGATGTATAGATGATCCACAGCTGTGCATTATAGTTTTTGTCTTTTTAATTATGCCATATTTTTTAGCATAACTGTTAATTTAACTATTATTATTCTCACCCTGATGGGTTCTCATCTTAAAACACCTATGTATATTTTCTTCAAAATGTCTTTAAAAATATCATATCAGTCTGTATTTCCAGATTCCTATGCAATACATTGGCTAGGAACAATATCATAACTTATAATGCTTGTACCATTTGGATATTTTTTATTGGGATCTTAGAGGCCAGACTCTTTTCTCTTGGTTGTCATGTTCTTTCACTGCTGTGCCTGTCTGCAACCCTCTCCATCTTCCAGATGGAATTATATGACTCTGTACATTGATCATTTTGGCTAAGATGCATCTCTTCATTTTAAGATGTCAGTCAAATACTTGGTTTCTAGAGCAAACTGTTATTATCTCTGCAGGTGACTTTCATTATCATATGATAGTGTGACCCTTATATCTGTGTCCGCAGTACAATTCTCAGAATCCCTTCTGCTCAGCAAAAATAAATATCTATTTTTTCTCATATGATTGTTGTTTCTAGCACCTATGGCAACTGCATTTTTATCTATATAAGGCCATGGTCCAAGAGCAGGTGGACAACTATAAAGGAGTACATGGGCTTGCTGCATCTGTTTCTTCTTTGTTAATCCATCTATCTATACCTTCATAAACAAGCAAGCAAACAAAATGATCTTTTAATGACAGTAAAAAAACTGCCAAAAGTGCAGTGGAGACCCAGGAAATGCTTAGGAATGTGGAATGTCTGAGGAAAGCCACAAGAAGTGACAAGAGTCAAACCACAAGGGAGGCCATGAGGGTTTCTACCAGCAATGCAGTAGCATAGGCCACACAAGCCCTTGGAGGTCACATCTTGCCACTATGTTTTGCAGATTCTGGACACAGAATTATAGAATTTAATGTTTTCCCTGTTGTATTTCAGTCTTGCTTTGATACCATTTATGTCTATTCCTCAATTTCTCTTTTTTGTGATGGGAAGACTTATCTTATATCATCATTGTTTAATATTCTGTTATATTTTTACAGGGATTCACAGCTAATTGTTTGCCTTGAGTCGAAGAAAACACTTTAACGTGAAATTTTTTAAAATGGTGGACTCGTTAAAACTGGCTATTCAGAGATGGACTAAATGTATTTTGCATAAAGAGATTCACAAGAGTTTATTTGGAGTTAGGGTCAGAATGTCATGGTTTAGATCTAGAATATCTCTCATGTATTCAGACAAAAGATTTTTGGAAAGAGATTTCAATCATGGGTTTAGAGATGAATCTGCTATGGGGAGGTGAGGCCTGGTGGGAAGAAATGAGTTGGTAGGGTGTGAGCTTCAAGAGTATATCTCCTTCCTTGGCATCTCCCTTCATGCTTTCTGCTTCCTGGTCACAATATGGTGAACAGCTATCTCTAGCAGGACTTTCCATCATGCCATTTCTGCTTGGAGGCAGCCAACCATGAGTCAAAAATATGAGCCAAAATATACTTCTCCTTTAAGAGTTGTGGATTATGTGTATTTTAATCCAGCCACAAAAAATTAACTAAGGCATAGCTATTGTTCATATATGCATTTTAATGATTTTGATTTAATTCACACAGTTAAAGGTGATAGATTAATAACTACAACAAATTGTCATTTTGTAAGCTGTGCTTGATGTTTTTGTACTGCTGAATGTATCACTTGGGCTAAGATGTTGTGATTGATCTAATCAGTTGTCCTTCCTGGTATAATGAAAAAGAGATTGCCTCAGAGTTATTAGAGACTCAAAACCTAAAGACAAGCTATAACAGGAAGATCAAAGTATTAACCCAGGTATCAAACCAAGGACAGTACTAACAACAAAAATAGAAATGGGAAGAGATTCAAACAAGTCTCAAGCACAAACACAGACTTCCCACTTACTAAAGGAAAATTCTGGGGGAAATGAGGTGGAAAAGTCTGATAATCAACCACCTGGACACCCTGAACTGATAGCACATGAAAAACAAAAACAAAGACAGATTAATGAGGCTCTAGAAAAATTCAAAACAGAAATCATTTCCCAGATAGCTACAGAGATGGTGAACACAATGAATGACATGATTAGAAACTCTAGAACAGAAACAGATTTTTTAAAAAAACAATGAATGTAACTGTACTGTATCCCTAAATGTACCAATAAACTCAATAAAAAAAAAAACAAAAACAAACAAACATGAGTTTAGGCCCATGATAGAAGCCATGAATGCCCTGCATAGGAAAGAAATGGAAATCATGAAGGCCCAACATAAGAAATGGAATCAAGGAAACAGATTCAAACAGATATCCAGGAGATTAAAAACTCTATTGAAAGTATACAAAACAAACTGAGCCAATCTGAAGACAGGATATTAGATATAGAAGACAGGTTGGAGATCAGTTATAATGAAAGGATGGATCTCTTAAAAAT